AGGATGGAAGAACACACAGGAGAAGGGGGCTATCGCCTACTGCCAGCAGGTCTTAGGAGTCTTCTGCAGATGTCAGTTGACCATAGTTCCCAAACAAAAATGTGGAAATAAAAAAGTCTAAGTTTGCTTCAGGAAATCCACTGGGAATTGTTCTAGCCACACACTTGCTGGTCTATTCTTTGACGAACACAGTGAAGAAAATCCGGATGGGAACTGCATTTATTCAAGAGAGATGCGTTCTGTGGGAATGCTGAACAAATGCAACCAGACCGCAAAAATTTGGGAAAGAAAAAGGCAAGGTAGTCAGCAGAACTGTTGCTTTCAGCAAAAATGGCATTCATCTCTCTTTCTGCCTCTGAAAGGAAATGATGTGAAATGCTCTGCTTGTAGTTGATAAACCTGTGACTTGCCTTGCTTGGAGAAGAGGGGAGCTTTATGCTTCTGTTCCCACTGACAGTGTTGTGGGCAGCCTGCTGTGATCACAGCTGACCTTCCCTTGGCTGGATCCGTCTGTCTCAGATTATACTATCACATGGATGTCTCATGCGGTGAGCTCCCCTTTGCTTGTGGTGCTCCTTAGGCCAGTGAACCGAGCTAAAATGGTCTGGAGCCTTACTCTGATCTCAGGCTAATGAGAATTGGGAAGAACAAAACATCACTAAGGCCCGTGGAGGTACAGGAGGAAACACAGACCTCTGGGATGTCCATATGGTTGCATCTCAGAGAGAAACCGGTCATGCTGATAGCATGTGTTCGTATTAAATCACCACTCAGGGTCGAAAACACATTAAGTCAGTAAAGAAAATACATGAAGAAAGGCAAACAGAGGAGAAACTTGCTGCTCTGCAGAAGGCGTGATAAACCACTTGTTACAGTGGGAAAGAGGCTTTCAGACAGAAATGGCAGAGTAGTCACTTGACTTATCTCTGCAGAAAACAAGCATCTCTGGGAAAGCCGTATCCACAGAACTGCAGCTGTAAAGATGGCAGGGCTTCCATCAGGCTCCCTAAGCCTTCTCCTGACACCATCACTCCTACAAAAGGTGATGTGAAATATTCACGTATTTATCTCGCCACATCAGCAAGGGAGGTGTGTGCATTCAACGTCTTACTGCACATGAACCATTTGGGCTTTTTACACATAGAGCTTTTTAGCTTTAACTGAGTCACATCAGCAGAAATACCACATCACAGAGGAAACCAGTTTGAAATACCCTTAGCAGGAAGGAGGTTTGACAACGTGAGAAAGAAGAAAAATGCCACTGTCCAGGAGACAAGCCACCATGGGCTCAGGGGAAGCGCTAGGTTGGGGTTCTTTCAGGCCTGCTTGGATTCAACTTTCTGGTAGACAGATTAGATACCTTCATGTGGCAGCTTGAGAGGACAGATTCCTATGGCCAAATAAGTTTTGGACTGAAGCTATGTGACAGCCTTTGACCCAGCTCCCCAAACAAGTTAAAATGACACATCCAACTTTATTCAGCATTTGAATTGGGAGGGAAATGACTTTTCTGTTCTGCCAGAGGCCTCTTTTATTTAATGTCCCGTAAAGAGGAACAAACTGCATATAATAATGACATCTTGTGGTAGTTGTTGAATTATTACCCTATGATTTAGTAGAGAATTGGATGCCAAATTTCATGACATCTTTCTCCCTCCGTGCTGCAGCTTTGCAAGTCCATGCTTACAACTGCTGCTGCTCTGAGAAGCTGTGTGTAGAAGACCTCCAGAACCTTTGGCATTCTGCTGACTTGAGAGGAAAAGGGTATTTTGCTCATTTGATTATGCAGGTCCGGCTTAACAGACAGGTCGTAAATTCATAGTCGTAACAGATTAAAGAAGTGTAATCCGGATGCTCATACAGAAAATATTAAAGCTTTGATAATTACTTAGTGCAGAGGGGCTCTGGCCCACAGAATGAGCCTGCCTTTGCTGCACCGTGGCTTTGTGCTGGGTATGAGTAAATGGGGATAGCCTTTGCTGGCAGCATATAAAGCCCAACAGCTGCTGAACACCTGGCATGGAGCTTGCAAATGCTCTTGGTGAGCAGCCACCCCCACCCCACAGCTGGGGGTACAGAGATGTGGGGTGCTACAAAGAGTAAATCTCCAAGGCCTCACGGTCCCCCACCTTCCCACTGGTGGTGAGGTGTGGGTGTCCAAGGATCCCATGAAGCTCTAAGCTTAGTGCAGGCTGTGTGACAGCTCCTAATAGTGTTTGTAATTGTGACATTTCACCGCGTATCCCATTTTGCCTGCCCATCATCATATTCTTGCTGACGCACTCTCTGCAGTGCTCACTCTAGTCCAAGTTAGAAGCTTTTCAGAACAAACAGCACACTTTCCTGCCAGTTCGTACAGTACTTATCAGCACGGAGGGACTCGGCTTTTATCGGGGAGTTTGGATGTTGACTAAATAGCCATAATAAATGAGATTAGCAGGAACAGCTTAGGGATCTATTTCTACAAAGGTGTCTGTTTTTCCAGTCATGTGTTTGGTGGGTATCTCTGGGGCTCACCGGGTCTTCAGTTCTGTTCTGTGGTGACACAGCTGATTTCTCAGGGTTTTCTTTGGATGAAGGTACCTTAAGCTATGTGCCAAACACTTTTGTTTTTTTCTTCTGGGCTACAAAGGCCTCATAAATAGACTTGGAGTTTATACACAAGATTTATATACAGTTCTGTTTCCCAGCTGCGAGGAAAGAGACAGAAAAGACCACATCACTTACGAAGAGCTCAGAGGTGGTGGTGAAATTACAAGCGCGTGAGCAAAATGCTGCTGATCAGGTGAACAGTACAGCATGTGGGATGACAGATCAATGCTACTGGTCTCTGCATTTTATGTAGCCGGGCATCTCTTCCCCCATTTGCTCCTTTCACTGGCAGAGATCCTGGTGGTCACACTGGATATTGGGCATCATGTGCTCTGCCTACTTCCTTCAAATCTGCATAAAAGCAAGCAGTAGGTGCTTGTTGGATTCCCTATCGATACAGAAAACAGGAAGATAATCATGACACTCCATAATTCCATAATATCTAATAATAGCTATTTAGCTGTATTGATTTTTTTTTCCCCATGGGATGATGCCACCTATTGGACATTATTAAAAGAGGCAAAACAGTTCAAAGAAAGTAAATACTTTATACTGTTTTTTTTCAGCAAAGGCAGCTAAACTTTTGCTTGTTTCCTACAGTTCAGTAGCTAGACAAAGAGCTTCTATTGGGACATCCTGAATTATGGTACCTCATTAGAAAAGAAGAAAGAATAGAGGGAGAAAAAACACAGGCAACACTGCCTATTGCTGGGAAAGAAAATGAAGTTCAGAAATAAAATACGGGCAAGGTTTAACAAGATAGTTTATATTCATTTTTCCAATGGGACTATACACAACAGTTTCAGCATTTTGAGGTTTTTGTTTGTTTGCTTGTTGCGGTTTTGTGGGTTTTTTTACTGCAGTGCTTGAGGGTGATCATCTTTAATTGACATTGAACGTGTGGTGGTAAAATTGGTATTTAAGATCAAGAGGTCTGGCTAAGAACTTATCTTTACAAAAAGAACAGTCCTTTCAACTAAAAGCTAACAGTCTGTGATTGTTTCCAACTCCCCACACAGTAGCCAAAGTAACACGGAGTGCGGAGTGCGCCACTACTACTGGCTCCACCAACAGCATCTCTTCCTATTGTCATGTTATTTACTGTTTGATGCCTTTAAACTGTGGCAGTTAGCAAGCTCCCTAAGGGGTCCAAGCCTCCAGGGATGGATACCTGGCTTTGTTAACATTGAAATTACTGCTTTTCCTCACCTCTTTCTTTTTTTCTGAAACGGTATATAGGATGGGTCTCTGCAATCAGTTGGCTGAGAAAAGGGGAGCTGAGGGGGAGATGCTCGCTGAATGTTCTCTCATGTTCTCTCACGACAATCATAGTTAACACAGCTTCTGTCTGGCCTGCCCTAAATTGTACTTGCGTTATTATGCACTTGTGAGCCCTCAATGGACTTGATGGAATCAAAGAAGACTCTATAGAACTACTTGCTCACATTGTGGCAGTCTGTAAAGAACTACAAACTTTTGTGTATTGACACTGCAACAACAGATGAGATCATAAAACCCCACAAGGACAAGGGTCTGATTCTGCTCAAGTAGAATTAAACACTCAAGTATTGAAATCACATTTATTTAATAGCCCAAACCATAACTCATCCCTGATTAGCCATAAATAATACACAATTTTTTAATTTATAAAATAAACTCTTTGGCTTGATAGGGTTGCTCACAACAGTGAGGGAAACAGGAATTAGGTATTAACAGTATTTCAGTTTATAGATACAATAAAGTAAAAAATTAATTTGGTTTTCACAGCATATCTAAAATATTCTGAATTTTAAAAGCTTTGTTAGTGTCTCTTCCATTTGTGAATAAAAATATTTGATAGCTAATATAGCTGCAGGAGAAATATCCTAATATGTTCAATAATGCCTACCACTGTCGTCTGTTGTTATAAGACCATATTTATAATAATTCCTTTGAGTATATTCTGACCTAAAACATAGATGCAGTTTCTATGGGTGCCAGGCTTGATACTGGTTTTGCAGTTATAACCAACCAAGAACGTATGTAAGACTCACAAGTTAGCATTACCATAGGTTTTTTTTTAAAAAAAGATGTATAAACGAGTTGTTTTCGATTAATTTTATCTACAGGTTTATACACAATTCAAAGACAGAGTATCTAAAATCCCAATCCGCCCCTCCACTGAAAGAGCAATCAAGTAGTTTAACACAGAGGCATATGAAGTATATCAGAATAGCTTCACAGACTTCAAAGGGGCTGTTGGAAATTATTCCCATCCCTTAATACAGGTTTATTGCTGTTGGTGTTCTTGATATCTTTTTTCTTCAAATTCTCTTTATTTTGCTTTTGTTCAGCTTATTCATAATCCCTGGTTGGAAATGTTTTTTAATTATTAAACTTCTGTAATATGATCGTAAAGTCAAGAGATTGATTGGAACATTTCTTTTATAGAAACTTTGCGAAGCAGTGATCATAATGATTCTTCATTTTTTTGTATTTAATTGAGTAAATATGAATAGTGTGCAGATGTGTTGCTCTCGCTCCTCTCATTATTATAACAATCCCCGAGACCAAGTTGGACTTGATTTCAAGGTTATTTTAAAACTTGGCACTTCTCTATGAAAATCTCTTTCATTTTCAATGTTTGACATATGGTCTCATTTCCTCCTGAAGTTTGAAACACGGCATCCATCTCAGGTCCATCCAGCCTTTTACAACTTGTTTGGTTTACAATTTTGACCTCAGCCTGCCTGCAACAGGTTTATTAATACAAAATTCTGCCCACCATGAAGGCCTGTTCAGAGCTTTGCTGCCTTGAAGGATCTCTGCCCACATGTTTTTATATAACTGCAAAATAATAATAAAAAATTATTAATTCATACAGAAAATAAAACAAAGAAAAATTCTGCAAGATAAATGATCTAACTTATTGGTTGAAATGAGATTGTGACTGAATTTCTAGATAACAAATATGAATAATTATGTACAGGCGAGAATAAACACAAAGATAAAGCACAAAATTTCAAAGGAGTGTAAACATAGATTATCTGTGTAAATCATTTAGATCATCCTTGGCATAAGAGCAGGAAAACAGTAATCTTTATAATTTCTTGGTTTTAACTTGACATGAGTTGTATTAGGAAAGGTAGAAATTTGGAAACCAGATTATATTAAGCTAATCTTTGCTCTGTCCAAACCTGAAGACTGTGCCTGAAAGCATTCATGCACGTCTGTTTTTACCTTTATTTCAACACATTTCTGGAAAGTAACATAACTTCTCTCCCAGATGTGACCTGTTCGACCTGAGCATAAGAAATTCCTCTCTTATGAGCAGATTGTTAATTCATCATCTTCATCAATTTGCAATTTTATGTGGAATGGTTAAAGAAAAGTACATGGGAAGTAAATTCTGCAAAAGTATCATTTTAGCAATACTTGGCAGTTCATAATTAACTGAAGCTTAAAACTTTAAATAACATTATAGAAAGATGAGGGAAGCAAGGCCATATTTTCAGCAGTAAGTTGGAGTACAGTATAATACAATATTAATGTAGTATAAAAGCAGTCAGTGATGTAAAGTGAAAAGCCTTTCTTCTACATCAAAAGATAGCCTGGCCCTATATATTTGGAATGATTAAAATAAATATTGGAATATATTTAATGTTAAATATATATTTTAACTTGATTCCAGGTGTTAGTGTTAACTATTCCATTCCAAGTTTGGTTTAATTGTCTAACAATTTTTAATTAATCTTGAAATAAATGTGGCGATAACTTCACATACTTAAGATGAGATTGTCAAAACTTCTATGGGGAAATGATGTCCACACTACCAAAGTTTCTTTTAAAGAGAATCTGAATTCTAATTCAATGCTTAAAGTTGCCCATAACAAATTTGGAAACGTTTCTTCTGCTCCAATTATGATCTGTGGCTCATGGTGCAAGGCACTCCACTGCAGTACAACAGAGGTTATCCTGAATTAAATTAATTCTCCTGTTATGCTTTGATAATCTATTCTTTACCCTACTGTAATTTTTACAAAAATGTTTGTGTTGGTTTTTAGAAGTTGCAAAGATAGCAATGAATAGAGAATTAAATACAGACAGTCAGGAGACAAGGAACTTTATTTTGAATGAGGCACTGGCAGCCTTTTTCAAATTTCAGTTGAAAATATTTACACAAGTTGAAAACCACAGACTTAGAGGCAGTTCAGAAAACAGAACATGGGTTGGGTATCGCTGCCTGAAATTATTTTCTCAGTAAGACTCAATGAATTTACAAAAACCTTACCATGCGCATGAGGAAGTCAGTGGCATTTAGAGTCCTATCTGCATGTCTCACATATTATATTCCTAATATTAATCTCTAACGTTAATTCCTAGTATTAATAAGCCTCTGTGGCTTCTGTATTTGTGTGAGCTAAGAGCTAGCCAAAGAGGAGCTAGCCAAATCCATTACATGACAGCTTTATCAGCTGCTGGTAAGAGATCTCCAGCTGACTGCCAAAAAGCGGGTAGCATTCTAGGAACAGACCACTGCGTACTTGTGCCATATTTTATATTGCCGCCTATAGCATCTACTCGCAGCTGCACTTTTGGACAATACAGATTTTCTTAACATTCTTACAGATGATGCTCCTTTTCTTAGAGTTAACTTTGGAGCTTCCTTCCCATGACCTCTTTCATTAATTTAATCCTGAAAAATCTACAGAAATGGAAACAAAGTTTCCAGCGATGATTATAGTCTTCTTGTTGAGATGCTGGATATGTAGAGCTAGCCCTGTCCCCTTTGTTTGTAGAGACTGTTACCAAAGTTAATCATTCTGTTAGGTCAGCATCTGGTTAGAAACATCTGGGCTGCCTTCTGTACTGCTTGATCACCATGGGAACAACGGACAACTTTAGACATGAAGACACAGAGAATATTGAAAGACATTGAGTACAGTTGACTCAGCAATCCTGTCAAACTCCCTGGCAGTCTCCCCAGGCTCTAGTGATTCTCTACAGGGTCTAACCACACTAAACCAAACTACCGTACTGTGACACCAGTCTCTATATAAGTTATCCCACAGCTTGGCTCTGCTGAGTAGGGTTGGCCAGTAAGCAAGAATTTTGGTTTGCAGAGACTTTAGAATGAAATACAGCTCTTAAGTACATCAAGGAAAAAAAAAAAAAAAACAGAGGGGGACCGTGACCTAGTATAGCCAAATCCATGCTGCACCCACATCCCGAATCCTGCTTGTACGTCTGGTTATGATACCTCCAAAAGGATATGGCAGAACTAGGAGAGATACACAGAAGGAAAACAACGCCTGTCACAGGAATGAAAAGGTCCCCCAGACAGTAAATGTATATGGACCGGGATTGGGAAGTATTTTTTCACAATACTCCAATTGTGGAAATTTCATTGTCATGGAAGTCAAAAGACAGCTGAATTTGAAAATGGATGGGAAAAATGAACGGAGGTTAGATCCACCTGCGGCTATTAAACAGAATGATACCAATACAACCTATGGCTTGAGATCTCTTAAACCACCAACTGCCAACAGCTGAGACACCAGGGAAAGAACACTTCAATTTCATACGGTGTTCTCCTTGGCCACTGTCAGTTACAGAGTGTTTTGTGAACTGGATCCAGTATGGCCGTTCTTAGGTTCTTGATTCAACCCTTGCTTTGTGTAATTTAGACTATACAAAAACATGTCTCTCAGCCTTAACAAGGATATATTCATTAAAGCAACAAGAGGTGGTAACAAAACAGCATCCTTCAAGTCTGTATTAAGATTACTGGGATCCCTTGGGTAATACTGTTACCTTGCACTGGTGAGTACAAGACACTCTGCCATATCCTAGAATTCCCACTGGATACAAATAATTTTGCAATTTCTGATATAATTTTTAACTGGAACAAGCTTTACATTTTCCTTTCTCTTATTAAATAAATATTTTATGAATAATTAAAAGAAAGAAATGATTTCTACATTATTTATACACACATCACACAAACTGGGTGCAATACCAATGTGAATACCAATAAAGGCAGCAAAAGTCCTAGCGAAAGAAGAAATACACCTTACTACCTCTCCTAGGTATTAATCTCTATACTGAAGATACGTTAGTCCTTGAGGAATCTTAGGAGATGGTATAATTTTTGTTGTTGTTGTTCAGCAGCACAGATGCCCACAAGAGCAAACCAGAGCAATACTGTACGAGTTTCCCATTGAAGCCTATCTCCAGCAAATGCAAAATGTCATTTTCAGCTGACATCAATTTAACTACTTTCCATTGAAAAAGTGTCTTCCTTTTCTTTTGTAGCTGTGAAGTGCCTAGGGTATGTTATGGCTATTTACAGGCGATACCCTTCTTAATGATTAAACTTACAAATTTTAAAATGGGTTTTCTTACCTCTCCACTAGCTTTACCAATGGGAGAGTTGAGAATGAAGTCAGGAGGAGCAAAAACATCAACCAGGGCAACTGCATCATCTTTCAACTGTTTAAAAACACACATATATTTGGCAACTTCTGTAGTTTTCTATGGCTATTTGTGAACTACAAAGCAGCATAAAGATTATTTCATAAAGCACCAGCTATTGGTAACTTAAGAGATATCCACAATAAGGAGTCTGGATTTATTTTGCTTTTTTTCCTCCCAGGGTAATTGCCAAAAAGAGACTGTATTTTAAATGTTTTCCTCCTTCACTCCGGGGTTCTAAACCACATTTTAACCAAGATGGTACTGTTTACACACATAAAAACAAGTATTCTAGAACTTTAAAAACATAACTTCCAGATTTTTTGGTGAGATTTTACTTACCTGCAAAGAATATAATCCAGTTTGAAAGGCTTTTGTGCTGAGTGAAAAAATGAGCTAACACAATAATGAAATAAATAGAACTGGATTGCAGTATTTCACTGGCTTTCCAATGAAGATTGCAAGGTCACAAATGATAGAGTGTTATTTTGTAAGATATATTGTTTTTCATATTTTGGTAAATAAACTAGGACTAGATTCAGGGTCAACGAGTTACTAAACTTTACAGAAAGTTATTCAGAAACTATGAATGTAATAAACTGCTAATTTATCCCTTGAAGTATAGAATAACCAATACATATCTCTTTTAGTATTTGCATACTATATTATTATTTAATCACAACAAACAATATTGAAGGCTTACCCTGTTGCAGAGCTCCAGAATAGCATTCTGAATAAATCTACCAGCTTGTTCACCTGAAGCATAGCCACCTGCAAATACATTCATAAAGAAGCTTATACCAGTTAAGATTACACTGATACAATCCTTTTACAGAGCAGTTCATCAGTTCAGTATTCAAGAGACTAAACAGACTCTCCTATGTAATTGGATTGACTGTCTTTTGCTAATGAGTTGACTGCAAAACTGTCAATCTAAGACATTTGAAGCCTTCTGCATTAACAAGCTACACTACAACATCTTGCTGCCTATCACCCATCTTCTCCCCCAACCACTGGACCACAGCAAAACTCGTGAGCCCTCCATCACCTCTGAGCTAAGAGAGAGCCTTTGGGGTTAATTTGTTGCTCCAGGTTCCTGCTCCTGAAAATTTTGTCCAGAATGGTTGTTTTACATTACACAGGCAACAAGAAAATGCTCTAATCTAAAAACTAATTAAGAGTCCTTCCGCCTGCCAAGACGCAATATGGGAAAAAAATCCCTAATCTTTAAGTTAGGACTTTTATAAAGTGACACGCACAGTATATTCAGGGAGCTGATCTCACCTTGGTAGAGCACAGCCAGATGTTTACTTAAAGACCAGAGTCCATACAGAGCACTGAGATTCTTAAGCACTGGCTGCAGAGTAGATGGTAAGTTGGGATCATGTGTGTAGTCATGAAATCTTTGTAAGGCTGTTTGTTCAATAAAAGCAATGGCTAAGGATCGACAGTAGTACACCTTAGGAAACAGAAAAGAAGGATACTGAGTAACAACATACAAGGAACCAATCCTCAGCTTGTGCAAAATGGCATTGCTCTGGTGAAGTTAGTGGAGATTTGTTGATTTAGATCTGCTGATCTGGCTTGAGATTAAAGAAAGTCTAAGAAGAAACTCGAGAAGAAAATGATTTTTAAAATGTCTTTGCAAAGGTTATTCATGAAATGCTTCATGAAATGCCTCTTCGAAATAAGATCCTAATTTTCCACTGTGTTCCCGTTTCGGTATTCTCTTATACCCATCCAAATGGAGCACAGATAGTATGCCTATTACCAGTGTCATTTGGCAGTTGCACCCAGAGTATATGGGATCAAGTAGCTACATCAGAGAGAAGACCATGCAAAATCGGGTTTGCTGACTTTAGGATCATTAATAAATCCATACAACTCTAATAAGATAAAGGTAGGTTTACATGTATTTAATATTATGCAGATTTTTATAAGGAGGGTAAAATCTTCAAGGTGGTTCAGTAACATATTGAAAACTTATTACAGTCCATTCAAATAATAAATAAAAAATCTGATCATGTTAGCACAAGTGTTTATGGATTGCAATAGATTGTAGTATATTTTGAAAAAACCACCCAACTAACCCTTGCCAATTATCTGATCAGAAAGGCAAAGGTCATCAGTTACTGTTAATACAGAGTATAAAACCTTAAGTGATTGTGCTCACATAGGAAAATTTTTCTACTTTTATATACTTCACCTTTGCTGTATCATGGCATATGTCCTACCACGAAATAAACTGCTGACTGAAGTCATTCCAGCTGGTGAACAGAAGAGGAATACAAAACCATTGCTGTTGTGGCTGATCTGTTGCAATGCTGTAAGCTGGTCTTTGAGTTTAGCCCATTTGTTCAGGGTTTTGTGTTGGTTTTTTTTTCATTAAGAATTAGTTGATAACTTTTCCTTTTTGCTTTGAATACTTGCATCACCCTGGCATTTAAATCCACTGTGGGATTTAAAACAGGCACATTCTAAAGATTGATGTCCCTTTCTTGATAGCTCTTCAGTGGCATACTTATGTCCAAACTCAGATACAAGCACGAACTGCAAAATAGCACACCTATTCCCTGCAGGTTTAGGGAGGACTTCCCCTTTACTAGATGGACTTTTTTAGACACGAGTGTAGTTCCCTACTCAGAATAAAATAAGTCTCAGTATCCCAAATGAAGCATTAATTGCCCATTTTTCTCCGCTATAATTCTATTTTCTTCTTTACCTTTGCTTGCACTTCTGTACTGTTTCTATCAGGTTATCCCCACACTGAAATAGCCTAGGGATAGGCTAGGAATCTCTTCCAGACCTCCCATAGCAAGAGCAAATATTACATAATAGTCAGCCACTGGGCTGACAGAAAAGTGCTTCTTCATGCCCAGAAAGTTTTAAATCAAATATGTACGTGTCTTTAAAGCACAGCTTGTAAATATTTTTCAGATGTTTGTGAGGCACGCCATTTAAAATAAAATTCCCGCTGTCCTGAAGACAAATTGTAGGGAGAAAAGAAAACCTAATGACCTAAGATATATCAATGCCTATCTCAAAAGCAGTTGTGTGCCTACGTATCTTTAAATTTTAGCACATTTGAACATAAAAGAGAAGAGAACCTTCATACTTCTGAGCAAACTATTCTCTAACACACTGGCCCCAGCACCAGCCTCCCAAGAGCTGGCCAAGTGACAAGTAATCTTGAATTTCTGGCACCCGTTCTGAATTTGACCCTGAAGAGTTTCTCTAATAAGCTGCTTCTAGGGTAAAACCGGGAAAGATTTCCTCCACTCTACCAATGGTTTCACACAGATCCGCTGTTGAAGCCAGGCTGGCTCTTTCTAGGTGCCGAGTTGAATATTCCTTCCTGATGTTTTTTAATGAGCTTTGCAGATAAGGTGAATGACACTGGCCACCTTCAGGGAACAGATCTCCCTCCTCGGTGACAAATGACAAGTGTTCTTTCCTAAGATGCGAGCCAGTTTTTCTCACGGAGGTAACGGAAGAATTTGGGGAGCTTGGGGATATACACTGAAATTTGGATTTAAGCCATTCTTAGCTGTTAAAACTCATTGGTGGGATAGTGGATCTGCTATATGTAGATTGTCAATGTTTCCTTTTCAGGTTCCAATGCTGTCGGTCTGGTATCTTTCATGAGTACTTTGCACTATAGAAATTAGAGATGGAAAAGACCTATTAGGTCATCTAGTTTACCTACCTGCCAGAGCAAGATTCTTTCCTACAGTACGTATTTGGCCACAAGAGCAGATGGAGATGTAATAATCAGATGCTGCAGTAGATTTAATAGTGGTAGATTTAGTCTTCAGAAGTTGTGCTATCAAAATTATAGACATCACCCAGCACATGCCTATAACTTTTCTGAAGGGAAATATCCTGGAAGACTTCTGCTGATGGTAACTGTCCTCCTGCTATCATGTTCAATACAATGCATGGGGACAGGTATTGCATTTTATTAGTTATCTGACTTGCTGCTTTATGCTTGAGGAAATTGAACTTCATGACACAAGAAGATAAAACTAGCAGGATCCAACCAACTTGGATGAAAATAAGTAAATAAAATAAGAAAGCTGAATAAGTATTACCTGACAGTTATTTTTTGCCTCAAAGTCACTTCGCCCAGACTGCTTCTCCTTGCTCAGCTTTAGGTCACTTTCTCGGAGAAGGTAACAAACCAGCCATTTATATGCTGCTAAAGGAACTGTGAAAAAGAGAAAATAAAAATTCTTAACATTCATATTTATAATGCAAGAAGTCACATGCAGATTCTACTGCAGTCTCAGTTTTTGTTACCCAAGATGAAAAGTGGAAGTGTTAATTAATCAATCCATTAACATGACACTTTGCCCATTACTGTAGATGTAATAAATAACATCTAGGTAAGATAGTCAGATTGTTCAGTGAAGACACACCGTGCCTGACCATACACTAGTTCAAACTGACCCCAAGCTAAAAGGCAAGGTATATCCACAGCTCAATTTAGACTTCTGACTCAATCAAATCTTTTTAGCTTATTATTTTCTTCCCATATTAAGACTTAGGTCTGCAAGGTATGCAGTCTCTTCTGACTGTACAAGAACAGAAGACACTGCACAAGTTGTGAAAGCACGTGACTTCTAACATTGCAAAGGTGGCTTAATGTAACTGCATTTGAATGACCTGATTTGTACATAAGTGCATTATATTTTTACAGCAGCCTGGAACTATTAAGGAAAAAAGTACTTCAGCATGAAGTCCTTGTATGACTCCTGCTTGCTTATGTCTTAGCTAAAGATTTAATGTAGAACATTGTTTAGGCAATTGTGAGTGGTCACATTCGGCGTAAGTTCAGGCACTTAAAGTAATGGTCCATTTTCTAACAGAATGGAACAGTAAACAGATTCAGACATTTTTAAAACTATAGCCTGGTTCAGTAGGTATTACAAGACAGGAGAGAACATGTGCTTAGGTATCAGTTTGTGCTCTGCTGGATTCACAAGTTGGAGACATACAACAAAGAAGAAAGCAAGCAGTTGTTTTGAACTAGTCTTTTTCTTTTAAGTCTCTGTATTTTGAAGTTATTCAGGTTTTACCCCGTAGCTATTACAATACTATGTCAGTACTTGAATCACTATCCAGTTCAGCTTTTCTGCTATTACTTGAGCACTGAAGTGGTTACTGAATTCTAGGAATCAACTCCATTGCCCCTTATATAATTAAGACTGGAGTTTCTTTCCCCAGTATGTTCTCAAGCTAAACAGATTCACGTTTGCTCAATGCCCTGTCACTACCTCATTATTTGCTCATTTCTTTGTTACTTTTTGCCTCCAAGGGCCAATCTGGTCTCACAATGATACAGAAGTGGGAATGGCATCTAATGTCACACTTGATTTGATTATAGCAGAGTAAGCCAGAAAAACTGCAGGCAATTTTCTTTCACCATTACTCATTATTCTCTATGCAACAAAAAACAACTGTCAAAACCAGACACACTTAAAGCCTTTTCAACATATTTCTAAATCGATTGTATGGTTTCCTAAAATGAGATATTTTAGTGATATAAGGTAGTGGCAATCAATGCCCCTTACAGCAGTTTAACTTGAAAACAACAATACAGTGGCAAATAAACCCTAGATCAGAAATGCTATTTTAGAGCAATAAAAATGGAAGAAAAATATCTGATGCTATCCGTTCCAGAATTGAGGCTGGGGACAGTAGGACATATTTTGAAATGCAAACTATGTTCTTAGTAAATTGAAATGCACATAACACAAAGAAAGTCAGCAAATAGTAATACGACAAATATGTAATAAGTAGCAGAGGTTGAATCTCAAATCTGTGGATCCTTTCCTCTGGGAAGGAATTTAAGATTCTAGCATCAGTTTAACAACAGCAGAAGGCTACCTGAGGAGTCCATGCAATCTTCAACACTAATGGATGTGAATTTCCAGCCAAGGATATGATGGTAGTCTTGCAAAAAGTTTATTGTTCCAAAAGGGGATTCAAAAGGAGCTTTATCTGAAATACCAAAGAAAATAAAAATGATTTATGAGAAAAGAAATCAGACTCTCTGGAACTAAAAGCCTATTACGAAGCCATGCATACACTTGATAGGCCAGATGCAATTAGGCCATAGTATTTATTTTATTATAGCCTAGTCCAGCCAAATGAGGACTGGTGGACAAGTGCTGAAAAACCTGACATTACTGCCTATAAGCCCCATAAGATTCAACGCCTGTTGCTGAGTTTTCCAGTTCTTTAAGATGCTGGTGAAACTCACTGCTAGAAAATGGAAACAAAATCTTTTATCTAGAGAACCACAAAATGTACTGATGGGTATTGCTACCAATTTAGGCAATATGAATTGTTTTAAGTACAATGAGGAGAGGGTACCCAGACTTACAATGACTTTAGGAGTTGTTCCATTAAACTAAACTGCACTTCTCAGGAAGTAAGATACTAGTAAACCTGATTAGGGATGGCAAAACATCTAGCTAGCTTCTGCAAGTATCTGTGTATTGTGAATGTATCATATGATGGAGTCTGTAACACATTATTTATGCTCTACAAAATGATTAAATGACTGTCAATTGCTTTCAGTATGAAATTACCTCCTAACTCCATTAATTACACGCTGTTGGGTCCCGCATAGGATTCCACAATGAAAACTTACCTCTTATGCAATTCATCCAGCTCATTAAGTAGTTGCTGGTTTGCTGAAGCAGGATGTTGTTATCTCCCTCATATGTGCAGTTTGGATCATTGTCATTTCGGATTTCACCCAGACGATTCACTTAATAAGAACATGTGCACAATTTATTATATTGCAATGTATTAATGAAAGCTAAGAGGGATGAAATAATTATTCTGTGACAAAATGCAAGAGAGTTGTCTGTTCCTGTATGTATTACCAACAAATGACCTTCAAAATTCACAGTTTAGCTTATGAAGATGAATATTCCTTATGAAAATGAATAAAGAGTTTAGAAAAGTGTGGCATTCACCTTACAACGGGAATTTTAATCTCTGAAGTCTGCATCTTTATTTTTGGAATAGAGACTTAATCACATGTACGGGCTGTCCGAATGATGCTGCAGATGCAGCACTTGTTTATTTTTTTTTCTGGTATCAGGTATAAAATTAACTTTAAAAATATGGGTATGAGGAAAAAACCCTTTCTAAACATATTGCTAAAATTCAGACACCATGATACAACAACAGTCAAAGAACACATCCACATAACCATTCTCTTTCTGATCAGTGTATGCAGTAGTCTGCAACTTACTGGCAAGGTAACCGTGTCCTCCACAAGCTTCTCGGCACTCCTGGGCTGCCTGCTGAGCAGTCCAAGAAGACAGTGGTTTGCTGGCAGCAGATAAGGCATGAATCTCACGTCCCAAATCAGCCTTTGTGAAAAAAACAAGTTACAAGTGAGTAATAACTTTTACAGAAAATAAGTTTGTGACCAGTTAAAGCCATGGCTATGTAGAATTATAGAATTGTTTAGGTTGGGAAAGACCTTTCAGATCATTGAGTCCAACTGTTAACCTAGCATTGCCAAGTTACCACTAAGCCATGTCCCAAAGCACCACATCTACATGTCTTTTAAATTTCCTTCAGGGATGGTGACTCCACCATTTCCCTGGGCAGCCTGTTCCAATGCTTGACAGCCCTTTCTGTGAGGAAATTTTTTCTAATATCCAATCTAAACCTCCCCTGGGGCACCTTGAGGCCATTTCCTCTTGTGCTGTTACTTGCTACTTGGGAGAAGAGACCGATACCCACCTCGCTACAACCTCCTTTCAGGTGGTTGTAGAGAGTAAAAAGGTCTCCCTTCAGCCTCCTTTTCTCCAGATTAAACCACGCCAGTTCTCTCAGCTGTTCCTCACAAGACTCTAGACCCTTCACCAGCTTCATTGCCCTTCTCTGGACACACTCCAGCACCTCAATGTCTTTCTTGTAGTGAGGGGCCCAAAACTGAACATAGTATTTGAGGTGCTGCCTCATCAGTACTGAGTACAGGGGGGATGATCACTGCCCTAGTCCTGCTGGCCACACTATTCCTGATACAAGCCAGAATGCTACTGGCCACCTCAGCACGCTGCCGGCTCACATTTATCTGGCTGTTGACCAACAGCCCCAGATACTTATACAGCGGGCAGCTTTCCAGCCAGTCTTGCCCAAGCCTGTAGCATTGCATGGGGTTGTTGTGACCCAAGCGCAAGGCACATGGCTTTGTTGAACCTCACACTGGTGTCCTCAGTTGTGTACTGTTTTATAATGAAGAAAAGATTAACCGGCAATACATACATAAAATTTTTTGTGATCTATGTAAGGGAAGAGAATATTTTTTGCTACTACAAAAAAACTGAACTCCCACAACTGAAAAACATTCAGCACTAACTTTCTTATATGGGACAGCAATACTTTGTGCCAAGTAATGGACACATGGGTTCATCTTAGCTCAGATGTGCCAGCTGACATGGCACTGCACGGGGTAGTTCACTGCTTGCCAACCAGTTCCTCCCTAAGATGGAGAGGTAGGTGGTTGAAGGTGGCATGTCCAGAGAAAGCTTCTGTCCCTTCTGTGACATAAGCAATCCCTCTCTCCCCCATCAGCAAGGGGATATTTATAATATTTACTGCCTTACACAGTTTTCACCGATCTTTCAAGCATCAATTTTGCAGAGAGCAGGAAAACTTAAATGTACCCCCTTAATTTCCAGAGAATCACAGCAGCCTGCACTTACACTAACTCTGTTGGGCTTCCTTTGAAAACGTGTTTGGAACTCCAGTTTCTGGAGACAGTGGGTTGATACTACCAAAGCTTGTTTAAGAGTAACTCTCTGGTTAGGCTGTTTGGGTTTTTTGTTTGTTTGTTTGTTTTTTAAGATCTTCTGTAGAACACAAGGAATTCATAAGGATTACGTTCTTAACATTGACAACAATCAGATTTTTCTCTATCATGATATTTTGTCAGAAAGTCACTGTTTTGCCTAAGGGTAGTGACTATGTTGGAGACCTTCAGAGATAAAATATCAGATTAAAAAATCAAACAGATTATTCTGTGGTTTGTGCAAAGAGGAGAAATTAGAATACCCAGCCATTAGTACACAAATTTTTCACGAGCTTTAATTTAGCTGAAAAAAGCCTGACTGTTTAGTGAGATCTGAGCAATACACAGCCAGTGTGTAGGCCATGAAAATTAACACCGTAAAAAAATTTAAAAATAAATAAAATGTATATGCTATATAAAAAACGCACTGCAGTTATTTTCTCAGTTGAGAATCAGTCCTTGCACAGAGACAGATCAAATTATTTCCACTGTAAAATGGTGACTTTCAATGGTCCGACTGTGGATGAGAAATTCAGCATTAAGTCTTAACATTTTCCTCCAGAAATATTTATCCTAATGTATGACTATGAATTGCAAAGTCAAGCCAGACTCATGGAGTCTGCAGAAATTAAGAATGGTAAAATTTCAGAAAGTCTTTGATACATGCCCCCTGCAGTACCATTTACAACAGTTATAAGCTGAGTTTGCATTACCATCATATATTTATGATAAACAATTCTGCAAGGGAACATGACTTTAAATCACACAGAAATCAATAAAACTTTAACCACTCCATCAAAACTAATTTAGATGCTTTCCTGAATGCCACTTAAATCATGACTTTGTGTCTCCCATACTTCTGAGACATTGCTCTAGCACTCCTGATTGTAGAGATGGCCTAAGACTTCTAAGTATGTCCTTCATTTAACAATTTCCAGTTCATTATAGTAAGAAGAACGGTAAGAAGAAATGTTTAAATATCTCACCTGTCTCTGAGTCCTTTGCTTTGTCAATAAGCCTGCATAAAATTCTATGAAATTCTCAAACAGGGATTTGGAGAAATAATCTAAGGCATATGCAGCAGCCAGATAAGGAAGAAGACGCCATTGCTAGAATAAAAATTAAATAGATTTGATCACAAATTGAAATGCATTTTTTACAGTTATACTATCTCATAATATTGAACCAACCCATTCATTTTTATTTTGTTCAAACTGGAAAACAGTTTTATGAAGAAGAAAACTTAACAATAACCATCTATAAATGTAATTAAGTGTAACTACTCTACACACAAGTCACAGTTACATTATTCTAGTAATTTTAGGTAGTCATTTTATGAATTTGTGATAAAAATTCTGTTAAACGAGTGCAAAAGTTCACTGAAGCTTTGGGGACTAACGAGGTATTTTTGCCCTGTGTTTGTACAATGTCTGGCATGCCAGGGCCAGTCATGATTCATGTGTTTCTTCAGTACCAACATGACAGAGGTTGTAACTGTTTCACTTGCTTGTTCATTGCTGAATGTATGTTAGTGCTGGTTGCATTCTGTGAGAAAAAAAACAACAACCAAACAGGGTTGGGAAGCAGAGAAAAAAGCATCTTTGCTGCTCCATGCAAGCCAGATGGAGCTCATGAGGGAAAAGAGAAACTGCTTCAGGAAGCTTTTGTGGTAGAAGAAGAGAATGCAAGGTTCAGCAAGCAGAGCCTACACAAAAAGCCAAAACCGAGCAAAACTGAGAGACTGGAAGAATAGTGGGAAGCAGACGTTGGCTTAATTGGAAGGTGGAAAGAAGGCAGCTTTTGTGAGTTTGTAGAAACCCATGAAATCTTTCAAAGTGACAGGACTAAGTGCAATCCTGGAAAAAAGCACCCACTTTGCAAGGACAAACTAGGAAGGTTTGTTTCCAGGACTTATACATTAACCTTTCTCATTCAGCAGATCTGAGTTTTCTCTATTTCTGAGTTACCCTATGTACCCTTGTTCTATTTTCTCAGAGCAAAACGTGTGTCCGCAGAAGAAAAACGGTTATACTCCTCTCAAAATTAGTGGTAGCTTGAGATTCACCACAATGAATGTCATTGATTTCTATACTTTTAAAGTCTAAAAAAGAGAAAATTAGCGTAGCAGCAAAAGAGGCACTGACATTGTTTAACAAATACTAGTTTCTACATCTGCTGTACTTTTACATGTGCATAGAAGATAGTCTTTCTTTGAAAAGCTTACTATTTTAGAGAGCAAATGTTTCTAGGTACTTCAGAGAAACATGAATATTTTGGGTTTTGCTATTCCAAGAACTTATGTTAAAAGCCTGACCATGCCTCAAGAAGTGTAAGGACTTTTTAGGTTGGAATGAACCCCCACAGCTGCACTAGAATGACATTTCAGACGACTTTAGTTTCACTAACTTCAGTGTCTCTACTTTGATCTGCAGTAGCTCTGAATCCAAGCTTCGTTATATAAATGTCTGTAGATGTGAATTCCAAAGTATTTACCTGTGTTTGGTATTCAAGAACAGGTATTTCTTCTTCATCAGTTGGTCCAAACTGACGGCGAGCTGCTGAGAAGCGAATGGCTATCGATAAAGCAAGCTTTAAATTGGCCGTGGAAAGTGCTGTGATCAGAATTCTGCCAGTGGACAAGGATCCCAGAGCTGCACTAAAACGCTCTTTAACATCCTGAATGAATAAAAGGCACAGACTGAATGGTGAGGCTGACATTTCATTTACCTCCCCGGAAGACGACAACTCTGGTAGCATGATCAGAAGCTCAGCAGATTGGCCAATTTTATTTCTTGATGCATTCAGATAAGGCATTCAGGCAAGACTCAAAAGTAGTTTCTCTAAATTACTTTGGGATCAGTGGGGTAGCAAAAAGAGCAAGGAATCAGTAAAACCAGTAAGGTGAGTTGAGACATCTCTGAAAGGCAATTAAAAACCCAGCATTTTGACTATCATGTGAAAGCGTCAGCAGCCTTATTTAAGTCATATAGTACTTCCCAACATGAGAAGCCCATGCTCTGTCTCTTAACCTACTTATACCTTTGTATATTTAATGAACTGTATTAATGAAACAAAACCTTGATTCATACCTTGATTGAACTTGAGTACTTTCCCTCAGCTGTGACATCTCCAGTTATATTCAATATGTTTTCTTTAGGTATCCTGACATTGTGGAACATGGCAAATCTGTTTAAAAAAATACACAAGCAATGTAAAATCTACTTCAACATAGTGTGAGGTGTCTACATTACAGAAATAAGGCCACAACAAAGACACGATTGCACAAGGATCTCAGCATATCAGTGAACTGGAAACAGTGCCCATCAAGGCAGGTAGGTAATTTTAGGAGAGTATGCCTGGGAGAACAAAGGCTTTCAGGCTCAGGGCAGCAGAGGAAATCAAGATGGGAAATTATTTGTTATAACTCTTCAGTTTGGGTGTTTTTTTTTTTAAAAAAAAGATGCTTACAAAAACAAAACAAACACCTCATGGACTCTAAGAAATGATTTCAGCAGCTTCATAAGCAAAGAAGTAAAGAACTAATGGAAGGACGAGCCATGTATTCTGTTTGAGGGGAAGGACAGGTAAAGTTACTTACTGGAGACCTTCTACAGAGGCACTTTGACATTTTCACCAACAGCCCAGAACCCTGAACTAATTCTCAGTCTGCATAAGTGAGTTGCTTAGCTTCATATCTCAGCTATCAAAAAGCTTGGGAAGATGAACAACTTCCCTCTCCTGCTTAGAACCTGACAGGGCCATTCTGCCTCCTGAACCACGTGCTTTGCTGCAGTGCTGGTCAGTCCAGTCTGGAGACTGCTTTGGAATAGAGACACTATATATTTTTATGAGTCTAAACTATAGATCTGTAAGGATCATTCATGTTATTGCAATACAAATGAGGACATAGCTGAAACAGTGCCCTGAGAAGGAACTGAATGGAGAATTTTCCTTTGTTTAAACTCAAACTAGGATTTCTGTTCCCTGGAATGTGGCATCTGAACAAGGGAGAGCAAGATAACCTTTTCTAAATTGTGGCACCCTAGCAGCAGTAAAGAAGGAAGTTGTTAGAATAGGCAGAATGTCCCGAGTATTCATATTCCTCAGGAAGAAAGTATATGAACTGTTTCACCCAAATGGGCAATGCAACTTGGCACAATAGCAGTAGTATCAGCTCCACTCACGAATATCTCAGTATCTAATAGCACTTGAAAAGCTGTATTTGTAATCAAAGCAAATTCCTTTTTCCTGCCAATACAGGCTGATCTATTTAATAAGGCTCACGAGAGCCAGGTCGTTCACATTAATAAATTACATAAGGGCTGCATTGCTGCATGTGCTTTAAAATTACGAGTTGTTTCCAAGGAAACATATCTGCATACTGAATTTATTCAGCCTTAGAGATACACGGTATATTCAGACTTAGCCACAGAGAAAAGCATGCTATCCCATTGAAGAACCAGCTGCTTACTGGCCTTAACAATGCTAAACAGTGCTTCGTTAAGTGCAGGCTTCAATGAGACAACATTACTTTGTAACAGAAGCAAATTCAGAATTTCCAAAAATCTGATTTCCATCTTTGTTAATATGTTTTTCACTTCACCTTCATAAGAAATCTCATTCAAAAAAAAATCTTTTGGTTAAATTCACACTCTCTGCTCTCTATATCCCAAATAAAATCTATCACAACTAAAACTGTATAGCAACTCCAATATTTTTAAGCAAAAGCATGCATGTTAGACAGAACTTGAGCTTTTTAATTATTATTACTCATTACTTTAATTACAGGAGAGTGTGTGTAGCAAGGTTTAGGTCCCTACTTTAGTGGGTTGCTTTTCCTTGTTACTGCACATCCATAGAACTACAAGAAGGTGCTTCCTCTTAGGAGCTTACAATCCAAGCATAAGGCAAGAAGCTACAAATGTGTTCAAACAAACGGTGAGGCAGAGACTAACTACTGAAGAATATTTTCTTGGTATGATACCTGCCAGTCACAGCATGTTGGCAGCTAAGCATTGACAATTTTTTATAGGCTGTTAAAGCAAACGAGAATTTTAAGGAGTCATCTGAGTGATGAAAGTAAGGGAGCTTCATGGACGTTTATAAAGGATCCCTCCCAAGTAGGAAAAGATGCATGGAAGAAAGCAATGAAATATTATTTCAAAAAGCTATTGAATGGGTGATAAAAACTGGAATCAGAAGCCAGAGTAAAGGAATAGTTAACCCAAAAATCTTGGGGGCCCAGGTTAGAAATTCACAAGGCTCCAGCTCTTGGGCCTTCTCTTTGCAAATACATATTTGGAACATGTTTAGTCCTGTATGTGATGAACGGTAAGACTGGCAGTAGTAATGACAATAAACAAGATAGCAAATTGTCCTTTTGTGTTTTACACTGTAGCAATTAGTTCAATTCATTCAGCAAAGCAGTGCAGTTGTAGAAAATTATTTATATTGATATGTGTTTGAAACTCTAGAGTTCTTAAAAAGCAAATTCAAATCTACTAGTATATAAATCTATACACTACTAAGCTACTTTTAGGAAATTCAGGCCTACTGATACTGTACATGCGGCAGGTGTGTGCCAAACAATACACCTCCCAAAATGACCTAATAAAGTTTTACCCACTTTCACCTGTTGTGATACAACCCCAAGTAGTTAAATCTAGAGGAGTGTTTTTGTTGGAAAGAGAAAAAAAGTCTTGTAGAAAGTTTATTATAATCTCTCGGACATAAATATAATATAGCTAATTCTGTACCACGTAAAAGATTACCTAGAATTATTTTGATTAAAAAACCCTTCTTATAATAATTTTTTTCACAGCTAGCGAACCAGGATACTAAATTTCCATTCATTATATAACAATCTGTTTTCTTAAAATGAAAATTAGTTCAAATAACAGTTTTTGAAAGTTTAGATTTTTTCCTTGGTATTGTCCATTACAGAGACATTATCTCATTCTTTTAAGATGGCAAAAACTTTAAAAAGAAAAAGAGAGAGACAGAACTAGCAATTAAAAATCACACAGAAAATTTCCATGTGTAAAGAAATAAGATCTATTGCCTATAAGTACCAGTGTTGAAAATAAAAGCACAACCTTACAGGACCTGGGAGTTAGGCGACCTTGTGAGATCATTGCCAACTGCTGTTACGCTCCTTCTCCAAGAACTTTGCTATTTGAAATTGTTAGACATACCGGCCAATTTGAACTTGATATCGGAACATATTAAAATAAATAGTAAGATCTAATGAAGTCAACGATCACATTTCTAATAGTTATTAGCCTAGTAAGCATAGTGAATAGACATGCACCACATCTGTCTATGCATTTAGGGGAAAAATCTCCTTAAAGAATTAAAGAAATATCTTACAATAATGGAACTGAATACATAGTCATGGGGATATCATGTACCAGCAAGTTTGGAAAATGGCTAAATTTCACAACGCTGATGACAAGACCATAGGTTTGAAAGCTACCCTACTTAGGGCCTCTTCTGCATAGCAGAGAGTGTTGTTGACATTAAGACCTCTCAGCAAGAAAGACAGATAGCTGTCACTTTAAATATCTATCATAGGGCTCTACAGCAATGTGCGATTTTGCATCATCTAGCCTGTAAAAAACAACTGTATCACATAGATTTCTACCTAGATTAGCTGAGCAGAGCAAAGTGCTATTCCAATAGCAACATTCTTGTTTGGGTTCTTTGGCCAGTAGTTTAGGGAACATTTCAAGCAAAGTTAATCTTACTGACTTTAAATCATGCAATAGTAATTCATCTGGTGTGCAGTAATGCTGATAAAAAAGGAGCAGCTGGAAAAGCTACGAGCTCCTTTTGCCAGTACTAAATTAATAAGCTGTTACCTATAGTACAAATAGCTCAAACATGCTTTGGTGAATTTCAGACTCACTAAAATGCCTTTCCTGCCAGCTTTTGTTATTGACTACATTAGAGATGGTGCAGTTCCTTCAATTCTTCCAGCCAGAAACAGAAAGCAGGTGAATGGTATTGGAAGGCTGTGAGTCAAGTGATCTCACGGCTGATTATGGGATACAGTAAACCTTGGGAAGAATAACACTTTAGAGGCTTGGTAAAAAACTTGCACAAGGAAAGAAAACAGCCACATATTCCAGACTGAAACTCAGAGAAAGGTTAGAGTTGAGAAGAGTCACAGAGAAGTTGGGGAAAACTGCAAGGCAGTATTTCAGCTTTAGTTTCTACAATCAAGGCTCTAATCTAAAAATGCAGCTCTCTGACAGTAATCCTCAATAGCAAGGATAAAACAACATAGCATTTTATAGGCCTCCTAATCCTATCTTAATGCACTTCATGGACCCACAAAGACCCACTCACCCTAAGGTTTTTATAGTCTAAGTGCCCGTCTTGCAAGGAGTTTTGGATGTGTAGACTCCTGCAACTGTTGGGACCTGGCAGAGCTCTGCTAAGGAAGAAAAAAGGTTCACTGCAGATGTGAGGCTCTGTTGCTGTGGGTGATAAAACAAATGCGTGACCAGATCTGAATCTACCTTTCCCCATTAGCACCATCAAGTGCCCGTCAGCGTGAACTGGCTATGGAAACACAGTTTTGAGGTACTTGTGAATGACAAAAATGAGGGGATAAGGCAGCACTCTTCAGCAATGTGACTACATCTTAGCACAGTGCACAGCACTCTGTGTACTCATATAATGTCTAACCTTGACTGTAGGAACTAAGTGGAGAGGGCAAAACAGGGAAATATCAATGATTCCACTGCAAAAATCACTGTTTTGACTTAAATTGCAAATATGCAGGATGTGTCTTGCAAAATATTTGGTTTAACTGTGAAAGTGGCACTGTTCACAAGGATTGAAGGTACTGTATTCAGATAACGTACGTACAGGTACAGGCATTTTTAACATTTATAGCTGCTTCGTTATTATTACAATTGCTTGTGACTCTGGTCAGAGGCTGCAAGGCAATAAAAATGTTAAACAAACATAAGCTTGTTTATTTGAGAAGCAGGACTGACTTCTACACTTGCTTTCTTATTCACACCCCTGTACTGTCCCTTTCCACCTACTGGAACTGCCTCTTCCGTGGCCTTGCAGTGAACCAGACCTGACAAATGATCTGGCTGAAGACAGCCAAATTTTGAGGGTTTTTTGTAGGATTAGTTTTCAGGCAGTTCCAGTTCCCTAGCTGTCCCCAACACAGCTACACAAATGTTTGACCCAGCACAAAGGTAGTATGGGAACAGAAGCAAGCAACCAAAGAAGCCAAGTATGGAAATTATCTTCACCAAACTACTGCTTCAGATTGTAAAATGAAGCTCCAAGAGACTATTCAGGCTTCAACCATGTATTACAGCTCCTGTCTTTCTAGTGAAATAACTGCAACCACTGCAAAATCTAAATAAGAGTCAAGAGGATAAATACTAGGAGACAAAAACCCTTTGAAGGACTAGACTTTTATCTATTCTACCCTTAAACTAGCACTGGCAGAATCTTAATGTATTATTTGCACTGATACTGGAATAGTAACAAAAAAAAGAAAAAGAATTAACCCTTTAAAAGTCATCTGTAAAGGCTTGGAGGTTGTGTGATGTATGCCATCTTCACCAATATACAAGGAATTGTAGTGAGGGCTTTCACAACCTGCAAACTATTTCCAGGAGGGATTAATTTACGCCATTTATTGCTTTTCTGCCAAATAAAACCCCTTCATACATTTCTTCTTGGGTGTTTTGTTTTATTTTCATTATCCAGAAAACTGAACCTGGCCTCAGTAATTGCCAGAGAGGATGCTGAATGTCTGGGCATATTATATGCGTGGAGAGATGGATCACGTTTTAATTGTACATGAAAGGTTGTTAAACAGCTACTAAAAAAGCCTTCAGTTTTTCAAAGTCCATCATTATAGGGAGATATAGGTAACAATTCTTCTTCCCCCAGAAAGACCCTTTTCTCCCCTACAAACAATTCCATCAAAATAAATAGCTTTCTGTCTGCCATTGTATCTTTGATAGTTTCATTTCACTAGGTCTGCCCTTATCAGAGGTTTTGTCTGCCCAACAAACTGTATACACGTTATCAGTAGATACAGCTGAATGAGCTCAGAGCATGTTTTACAAAGACAGGCATGTTAAGCACCACTTCAGAAACACAATTATAACTGATTTTCAAACTCTTCCCCATGCAGATTCAGTTGGGCATCATTTCTATTTCTGGAGTGGGGAAAGCAGCAATTTGCTGCTAGTTACAACTGGACATTAAATTGGTTCACCACTGATTCAGTGGCAATCATTTACTGACGTGCACTGCACTAATGGGTAATTTTGGTAATGTTACATTAGCCAGGGCAGACAAAAAAAACCCAAAGGGAAGAAAGAGAAATGCACATCAGCACTTACCCAAGCTCTTGCTTTATGTCTCTCCTCTTATGCCTGCCATGCATTTTATTGAAAAGGCCCTAGATCCCAGATACCCAGAGTTTTTTCAGTGGTTCTTTTTTTTTCCTCAGCTATTTCCATTTTGAGATCTCAGTGAACAGCACATTTCAAAGACTGCCAGAGCACTAGCAACAGGTGGACATTTTTATACGATAAAAATAAAGACTGAAGCACTTGCATCCCCTGGTGGCAGTCTGATTTATTTTCCGGTAACAAAACACAAAACCAGTCTAAACTCTCCATAAGAAAAATCAGACTTCTATTTTTAACCAGTTTTGTATTGATTGATTACACAAATTGTTGTAAATGATCAAGAGAAAGAAAAATATTTTAAATTATTTTAAAGTGATTTTGTCTTTTTTTGTCATCGTAGCTGAAGTTACAAAGACTTGCAAAACCCATGTGATTTTTGGACGTTCCAATTACGAAGCTATGAGAATTATTTGGAAAGACAGACTTAGAAGGAGCAGGCTAGTCTATTGCACATACACTGCAAAAATTCCCACATTACTTCTGAAATTCTTTCTCTTACTGAAAACATTACACTCCACATTAGCAGGAAACCAGCCTTCAGCCAAACGACCCAAGAGATTAATTGTTTTCCAGAGCCAGAAGGGACAACTACAATCATCTCCTCTATTCTCTTACATAGCATAAATCAATGGCATTTTCCAAGGAAGCTCTGGAATGTCCTCCCCATGTCCTACATAAGTGTTCAGGAGCTTAACTTTCTGTACTCGTATTGAAAATTAACAGCATAAACTTGAAGCGCAGGAACAAATTCTGGTATTTCTGCCAGAGATTCTGATCTTCACTCCGACCATTTATCCTCAGTGTAACTACATGGAAATATATCTGTTTTACTAAGGGTCTATGGTAGTTGAATCAGACTTCCTGCATACATTCAAAAAGCTGGCAAAGCATGCAGCAGAGACTAACAGTTGTAGTCACCGCATAATTGAATGTTTTCTTGTCACCACATACAAGAGGCTTCGGCAGTGCGCAAGAACTTCAGGCTGTGCTTTCTCTGGGATAAACCACGTCATAAAATTACTAAGCTGTTTAGAAGAACACCTTGACAAGGCAGCACCTGATGAAATGTCTCCCTGTGAATCTTGGCATTTTGCAGATCATGCAACCAACAGTCTATTTTCTAGAGTGGTACAGCTCGTCATCTCTGCAAACAAATGCAGAGCTATGAAGCTACTACCTCTCCAGTCCCATCCAGGCCTCCACGTACCTCTGAGAAGCAATGTGTACAAGTCCTGACACTTTTGACAACTCAGTGTGAGCAGGAAGGTTGAGAAGTGAAAACTAGTTCTCTAGTTCTTGTGAACAATGTTGGCATCTAGCCTCAGACCTCTCCAAAGAAAATAGCTGAGGTAGATCAGGTACACAGGCTCCTAGAGTTTCCAGCTGAATGCAGGCTATCTATTGGTAACCTTGGCCTCCCTCGTCCCTTTACCTTAATCTGCAGATGCTGTCTTAAACTTATGCTTTCTAGTGCAGGGACTGTCTTAATCCACACTCAAGAGATCTAGATCCATGATTTGGGCTCCTCAGGCACTACTTTTAGAAGAAAAAAATATTATTTTTTTTAAACCAGCATATGCAAAGTAAACAGATTAGAGTGCCCTGTGATTGCTTTAAATGACATGTGATGTCATAACTAAGATAAGGGACCCCATCTGACGTTAAGATTGGAAGTCATTGGTATCTCTTATTTACAGTGTATTATGTGGATTATCATTTCAGATTATTCAGTTATTACTGATATTTTAAGAAATGCTCTATTTTTCCCAGCAGATCAAAGGATAAATGGATTTTAAAATTATGTGTATTTTGATGTTATGTGACAAGTACACTCTTATCCTTTCTCGTGCTGCACACAAAACTATGCTGCAAATTAAGAACGAACAGCAGAATTTGAACATTTCTACAGAAATAGGAAGCTGAATTACATGTAGATTACTCAGGCCTCTGTTGCTGTGCCATCTGGTGGCTACTAGTTGGTAATGCAGATGCAGGCAAAAATACCTACCCAAACCCAAATCCCCTTCTTTTGCAGGCCTTTTCTCATATTTCTCCTCTATACAACGTGATTTTCTTTTTTTTTGTTTCTTTATTTTGTCTGTGTCTTCAGGCAACAGAGCATCAATAAGACTGAGCTACATAAACATAAAAGTCAATGCTATTTTTGCCAATACAGGCTATTTGGGACATCAGAAGGAAGGTGGTACAGACAACAAACAACAGAAGACCTATGACCTTCTGAAAAGCAAGTCAAATTAATTACATTTGAAAGCAGGATACCTCAGGATGCCTATACATTTTTTAATGCAATGGCATGTTATGAAGGACAATACCTATATCTGTAACAAACTGAATTAACAGTTCACCTCTTGATTTTAAATTTGAGTTAATTTAAATTTGAGTTTAACTCAAATTACCCCTTTGAGGTATATTTGAGGCATAAAGAAGTGACTCTGCCCCCCCTTACTATTTTTAGTCTCTGTCTTTACACAGAGCTATGTAACTAATACAGGGGTTCAAATAATAATTTTTACATAATGGCTGTTTTAATGCAGAAATCTACCTCAATTTCCTCACTGTCTCTCCTCCCCATCAGACACCTTTGGTTAGCAAAGTAACAATAACAGATACAGTAACGCCATTGAAGTCCATGACTCAGAAATGGAGCCCGGGTACTCTTCTATTTCAACTGTACACATCAAATACAGAAAAAATAACTAACCTTCTCCTTCTCTTCTGCAGTGACTGGGATTAGTCCAGAAACCCCACGGTTTAAACAAGATACCTAGTTTCTCTACTGGGTCTCATTAATCTTACATCTATACTAACAATAAACCTTGTCTATGGACCTCCATTAGCCTTCCTGTGGACTGGAAATTGCCAGACAAAATAATTAAGGGCTAAGACCCAGACGGGTGGAAAGGCTGATTAAGTTCTTTATTCAGAGCTTAATGAATTTGGTTTTATCTTTTTCATTATTATTGTTGCAGAGTATGACTGCAAGAATCCTTGGGGATAATCACAGGGTATCAGTGGTGCTTTATATTCTAAAAAGTGAGAGAATCAGAAAGACTATGGTTATTTAGATAGAAAATACTGAAATTCAAGATTTTTCAATCTGGGTTTTTTAGAAATACCAACAACTTAAAACCACTCGTGAACACCTGAGAAGTAAAGAGAGTACTGACACAGGATATTTGCACCACTACAGTGTGATATAATCTAGAATGTTTCCTTGTTCAAAGGGATTGACTTACCCATTATCCAACCCATTCAGCCCAAGTTTCTTTCCTATGTCACCTACCATCACACCTGGCATTGGTAGGAGAGTTTTTGTATCTCGAATCTGCATAGAAGTACAATGAAACGTTATTTCAGTTGTGGAACATTGCTTGAACTTTTCAAACAGTGAAATTATTCCCAACCTGTATTCTGTTACTAACACTAAAGAAAGCAGTCTGTTTTTTTCAAGCACATAACCCTGGATATAACTTGTACTTACTTATCTTCTCATTTAGGACAGAGATCACTTAATGAAAATTACTTCGGCAACATGACACTAATTACATCACTGTGTTAAATATTGCTTAACACTGGTGACTGCTCTAATCAGACTAGCATTGCAACCTTCTTCAGGTGTACACAGATATAGTAGGAATCAATTGAACTTTTATGTAACAATCAGCTTTGAGAAATTCTCCGATTTTGAAATAAATTCTGTTCAGTCTGCAACTAGTTCACGTTACTACATACAACTTGTCTCCTCCACTGCCATAATTTCTAATGCCTTTAATCTTATAAACTGATCTTCTGTCCTCTAGAAGCTTGGAGATTTCACACAAATCAGTCTGCAGCACTGGCAGACATAAATCATCTTAAGCCTCATCCAAGACTTTCAGGACTTCATGCAGTATAGGTTAGGTCTAACTATACACGTAACATGATAATCTGGAGGCTTTTCAGCTCTTTTGTATTTTTCAGAATTTTTTTCAGAAAACTGACAGTATAAAACTGGAGGTACAACCATCACAAAATCAGTGAACATTTAAAAACAGAAGACTTCTTACAATTGCAAATAAATGTTGAAGGCATCAATTAAAAAATCTGCTGGTCAGATATAAATACCAGCATAATAGAAAGTCTTTAATTTGAATTCACCCACCCACCCCCCCCGTAAAAGAAAAAAAGATTAGCAACGTTTCTACCTTACCTGTACAATAAAGGAATGTAATCCTTGGCACTGTCCATCAGGAGTATAGAGTTGGGCATACACAACTGCATGAGTGGCATGTTTCCCCATATTACCAACCCAGAACTTTGCAGCTTCAAAGTCAGGAGTATTGATGATAAATTCCTGTAGCCAGGAGAGAAAGGAGCAAATAATATAAATCATAAAAAACAACACATGGCTATTTTCTTTTTTTTTTCATGACCATGGCAATGATTTGAAAACATCCATTAACTGCCAGGGTTTCATTCTGTACTCCACTCCAACAGCTGAGATCTCTCTTATTGTGTTCAACTTTGGAAGGAATAGAATACATGTAGCTAGGAAAAATTTAGAGCTGAAAAAGTTCGTTACTTCATCGTAAAGCCTGAAATTCAGCCTTTTAATTGCTCATTTAAGCAGTGAAAAAAAAAAGCAAAGCAAAGTGATGGACTCAGAAGTATTTCCTAGATCTTAGGTTCCATGTGAGGGACTGTGAGGACTGAAACCTACGCAGGGACCATCGCCTTTTCATGCAGTTTTGTGTGGGAAGGAAGCCTGGTGACAGTGTGAAAATCAGCACGCTTCACAGTTTGGACAATAGGGGATCATGAGTAGTTGGAATTGGATGTAAAAGAAATCTCAGCTCAGAGTTTCATGATCTTAACAAAGATTTAGTCATTTCAGTCACTTTCACTGCAGTACACTCATCACCAGCATAAAACTCAATTTATCTAAATGGAACTGTTCATGCTGCCAAACTCACAAGGTTGTTTTGTTGTTTGTTTTTTTTTTCTGGAAAGGGATCTGATCATCCATGTTGCATAAATGATCACTGAATTGCTCGTATATGAAAAAATGCAGACTGGAACGTTGTCCTACTGAAGAATATAAAATCTTATGTTTCAAATCTATGATTCTCATTTCTCACTCTTTTGAAGCCACTTCATGACGTACAGATATGAGTGATGTTGTTTGTTCACAGTAATAGCACCCAGTTCTGTACACGACAGAGCAGTAAAATGCCAGAGTCTTTGAGGAAAATGATGAGACTACCTTCTTGGTACATTAAATAACACATTTTAAATTCAACTTGGCATAAACCAAGCATGCAGATGACAAAGAGAGATAGAAAGTTCTATCATCCTCCTCTCTTAACTTATATTTTCTTCTACCTTAATGTAAAACCACAGAGTTCTATTTGTTTACTGAAAAAAAAAAAAAAGATAGGACAATGAATTTATTTCTGCAACAGTGTTGATTTCAGAAAACAAATTATGAATAGTAAGCAGTACCCTAATGGAAAGAGCAGTTTATTGTTTTGTTCCTTTGGTCTCTTCAATAGTCTTGTTATCTCTTTTTCATATTTCATTTTCTGATCCTCAGGAAATAATCCTAATTGTCATATACAAAGCCTTCATATTTAAAGACAAAAGACAATTTAATCTGCATGTCCAACTATTCCTTAAGAGACACAACAAAGAAAGATGCTATCCTTGTTTTGCATCACAACCAGAAGCTAAATTAACTACTTCTATGAGAAAACAGAAATTTCTGGATTTATTGTAAATATTGATATATGACAGCCAACCACTTCACTTTCTTGTAGTTTGTTCTGCTGAATGGAATCACTTTCCTCTTTTTTAAAAGTATTGTGGGTTTTAAATGCACCGATTTACAGTAGTCAAAAATACTAATGCAGAAGACTTTATTTTGAAAACACTGTAAAGTTGTGTGGGAAAATGCTTATCTGTTGAAATCCTCACATCCACCCTTAACTGTATTCTTTGTGAAAATCCATTTCTTAGAAATAAATGAAGGGGAGAGAGAGCGTTCTATGAACTGAGGCACCCAAAGCACATGAAGTGTGATATGCTTGTCTCTTTGGGTTTTCTTGAACCAAGGCTCCCCAAAGCCACTCTTCCCTGCATTGTAAGTATTTGTCTTTTTTTTTTACATTTGGAGATGAACTTGATTCTTTCTTGTTAATCAAAGAGATCCTTGAATCATTCTGCCCTCTTGGGAAAGAACGGCATCTAACAGTGTCAAACATTACTCCTGTGCATTAGGGACTAACCTGAGTGCTTTGATCAAACGTGGCAGTAGTCCGTATGCCTTTGGTATTAGTTCCATGGCTGAGTTCAGTCAGAGCAAAACATCCAAAAATCTAAATAAGGAGATATAAGGCGCAGTTGAAGACTGTGTTATTACAGATATTAAAATGGTAAGATTTTCAAAGGATTGCAAGTGCAGCTATTGGAAAGTAACTTGCCATTGCAAGAAACTGATCAAATGTAACCCTAAGGCTAGGACATCATGCCTGCTGTAGGGTAACAGGTACCTTTTTCCTTTGCTGATGGCTGACCCATTCAGGCAGGTACAAATTATTACATTGACTAAGTTTTCAGTTGTTTGGGTTGAAAGAACTGTTGCGTGGTGAAAATGGGCAAGTCTGCTTTCATTACAAGCAATTCTGGCAACTCCCAAAGTTAAGAGAACACCAGAATGGGGATGTTCATTTTCAAAGTTGTGAATAGCCTACATTACTGAAGGGGGTAAATTTATATCAGATCAATGTGCGCATACACTTGGTTCTCAGCAGCATTTGGGAACACTGCCTGCTTGAAGCCACAATGAAATGTGCATACTGGAATCCCTTACCCTAGACTGGTTTGGCCTCTCTCTTCAGTAGCAAACCTTTGAAAAGCAAGTGAGAATGAAAAAAAAATAAATAAACCTGAAGCCTCAGGCAAAATTATTCTGACAAATACGTATCCTGTTTTTTGTGTAGACTGAGAGTTATTAAAAGAATTCATCCTGATCTTTAACATAGGCTATCAAATCAGAACTATGTAGCAGTATATTGCTGTCTATGAGAAGACAGACACAGAATTTTGGAAAATTAAATAAGCAAGGAAGGTGAATTGTTGGCAAAACAGTAAGATAAGAAGTGATAAAGAATAACAAAAGCAGCATGAAGCTCAGTGTGGGTGTGCCAAGGACACTACGCTTGCAAAATCAATGAGGGTCAGGCCAGACAGTGAACGTTGCCCACATGGCTAAATGGCATAGACAGGAGAAACTCTTTAGGATTGTCTCTTTCTGTATCAGACAGGCTGCACTTACTCTGCAGGGCACTTGGTCCTGAGTCTCCACTGGACTCCACGTGGGGTTTCTGTGGCACTAAATCATTATTATTATTTTCCCTTTCATAGCATCAGAATGGAATATTTTTGGCATCATGACAAGGGTATGTGCTGCACAGTGTTATGATGTAGATGCGCGAGGTGAGAGTGTCTGAGTGTGCAAAATGTGCTAGGATATACTCTTAAGGGACTACGGACAGAGACAAAACAGGTGTAGTGTCATCTATATTGCCTTTTGGGAGAAGTCCCCAAACTTTGTCTGTTGCATCCCACAGCATTCTCCTGGAGAGACTGGCTGCTCATGGCTTGGATCGGCGTACTCTTCAGTGGGTTAAAAACTGGCTGGATGGCCGGACCCAAAGACTTGGGGTGAATGGAATTAAATCCAGTTGGCGGCTGGTCACAAGTGGTGTTCCCCAGGGCTCAGTATTGGGGCCTGTTCTCTTTAATATCTTTATCAGCTATCTGGATGAGGGGATCAAATGCACCCTCTGTAAGTCTGCAGATGACACCAAGTTGGGCAGGAGCATCAACCTGCTTGACGGTAGGATGGCTCTACAGAGGGATCTGGACAGGCTGGATCGATGGACTGAGGCCAATGGTATGAGGTTCAACAAAGCCAAGTGCGACGTCCTACACTTGGGTCACAACAACCCCATACAGTGCTAGGGGCTTGGGGAAGACTGGCTGGAAAGCTGCCAGATGGAAAAGGACCTGGGGGTGTTGGTCAACAGCCAGCTGAATGTGAGCCGGTAGCGTGCCAGGTGGCCAAAAAAGGCCAATAGCATCCTGGCATGTTATCAGGAATAGTGTGGTGAGCAGGACTAGGGAAGTGATTATCCCCCTGTACTCAGCACTGGTGAGGCTGCACCTCAAATACTGTGTTCAGTTTTGGGCCTCTCACTATGAGAAAGGCATTGAGGTGCTGAAACGTGTCCAGAGAAGGGCTACAAAGCTGGTGATGGGTCTGGAGCACAAGTCTTATGAAGAGGGGCTGAGGGAACTGGGGTTGTTTAGTGTGGAGAAAAGAAGGCTGAAGGGAGACCTTATCGCTCTCTACAAATACGCAAAAAGAGGCTGTATTAAGGTGGGGGTCGATCTCTTTTCCCAAGTAAGAAGCAATGGGACAAAAGGAAACAGCCTTAAGTTGCATCAGGGGAGGTTTAGATTGGGTATTAGGAAAAAATCCTTCACTGAATGGGTTGTCAAGCATTGGAACAGGCTGCCCCAGGAAGTGACTGAGTTGCCATCCCTAGAGGTATTTAAAATATGTGTAGATGTAGCGCTGAGGGATACGGTTTAGTGGTAACTTGGCAGTGCTAGGTTCACGGTTGGACTTGATAATCTTAAAAGTCTCTTCCAACCTTAACAATTCTATGATTCTATGTTAACTTGGACAGTCTAAAACAGATCCAGGAAGTGCCATATGAGCTAGCAGTGAGGACAGTCAGGGCTCAGTGCTTCAATCTGGTCCTTGGTCTTTTCTTTTGCTATTTAAAAGTACCTAGGTACATAAAGAGATCAGAAATAACACAAGGGTGCAGGTAGTGTCATGGTTCTGATGGTGCCCAGTTCTCACAAGTTATTAATATAAAAATTACCTCCATGCTATAAATCTGTTTCACAAAGCCTGCAAACCTCTTAGAAGCACTCAAAATTGGACCTGCAAATACCTGTAAAAACAGAGAATTATGAATGAAATCAGTGACCCCATGATGGAAAGCACAAATTGCATATGCATAATAATTTGTAATAGTGCCGTCCGTTAACGAGACCATGGAAAGTAGGCTGCACAGTAAACTACTACTTAGACTACAGCTGGAAAATGTAAGTCAGGATTTGATCTTGTCAAGGCTCCTTTACAGCTTTAACCTTTTCAAGCCTTCATTGCAAACTCTTAAAAATGCTTAATGAGCTCACTTTCCTCTTGTCCTTACTGGTGTCCCCTTGAGTAAAGTAAAATTTTAAGACTGTTGTAGGTTTTTTTTATTGCAAATGGATTGGGAACTGAAGGTAGCTGCTTCAAGATCGAACAAGAACACTGTTTTTAAAGCTACATTCAGTTTTTCTAGATGGCTATTCACATAACAAAACTATAATTCTCAGAACCTCCCCGGCTGTGTAAGAATTAGTTAACTCAACTAATATTATTTTATAAGCTATGTCAACTATTTTTTCTGAAAGATTTATCTAGGGAGCAACTGATGAACAGAATCCCAGCCACTGATGTCAGTAAGAAACTCTACACTGGTTTCTGCTCCTTCTGGATTCTGCCCTGAATCAACACACCAAGAGTAAGGCAAGGAAGTTGCTGATACCTGCATCTGTAGCAAAGACATAGCCACCAAACAGGGCCCAACAACCAAGTTTTTTGGCTGCTAATGCCACAGAGAGGAGGCAGAGGAGTGGACAAAACAAGATGGAACTGTAGGCATCAAAACATCTTTCTGTAGCTCTGTCTATACTGCTCCATCTTTGCTTTCCACATGAGATTCCAGCGTAGACAGGGCTTAATGACAACAATCTACTAACTTAATCCCACAGCTCTCTGATTCTTCTTAACAGTTAAAACAAATTTCATTTTTGAAAACAAAGGACTGGGAAAAGATATAGCTTTAATAAAACAGGCAGAAAGCAACAGAATTATGGTATTACAAGACACTTAAAATATACACCAGTATACATTTTGAACTGTACTTACACCACAATGTAAGAAATACTGGAGACATAGAGACCAATCATACATTCCTATACAGATGACCATATTAAGTATCTTTAATGGATTCTCTATGATCTCTTGCTGAGTAAGAAAATCATATTCAAAGAGCCTTTTACAGCGTAGGAATGTCAGCTCCTGATATTTCTCGCGGCACAGATCTTCTCCAGGATGATGTGCAAAGAGAGGATCACTTTCCAGAGCAGAGAAGATTCTGTTCTTGAGGGGGGAAAAAACTGACATGAGAATGTTAAACTAAAAGAGTTAACAAAAGAAGTTATTGTTCTTCTAGGATAATAGGAGGCCTCAAACTACAATCGTTTGATAGAAGATGTAAATTTATAAAGCCAAAACTCCAGAGAATTAAAAAATATATTTAAATGGTCTGTCATTACATATACAGTTTATGAAGCTAAATTTTATGAAAGCTCCTTTGTCACGAAGTACTAAGTGTGGGACTGATTCATTCTGAATGTAAGAGAACAGTAGGGTAAAACTAACTTGCCTTTTATAGTAGCTTCATTATTTTACTATATGAAGCTGCTGGCAGGATCTAAGGGCAATGGCGCTCAATTCGAAAACAAAGGTAAAACTCCAGGGGTTACATTCAGTTAGAAATATGCCATAATGGTAAAGCCATTAAGTTACCGCAACTGCTCTGTTCACAGATGAAAGCAGAAATGTACTCCATTTAATGGAACCATCATATGCAGCCATTCAATATGGGGATGGGCATCTTTTAATGTTTTAATTTGGATCTTTTTTTTTGTTAGATGATATATTATGGCTTTTTTTTTTTTTTACCTCAGATCTCTGTATCTTCAAGATATCCACATCTTCTTAATTGTCTTTCATGTAATTTAGAAAACAAAGTGCAGTACCCTAGGCAAAATCTTTTTAAAAGGTTTTTAAAGTCCTTTCGTCCTCTCTGAAGAGAATGACACAGTAAGAAGGGGAAAAAAAAAAAAACCCAGAGAAGATTTCCTGTGCTTTTTTTTAAAAGGTAGGGTCATTCCCTTTCTCTGTATAAACAACACTATTTACCTATACAGCTTTGAAACTCCCTGAGACACAGAACACATGTTTTTTCTATGCTCTTAAGTATATCAGTCAGATGCAGAACAAGGCATTTTTGAGTTCTCTGATCTACCTTCCAAGATTTTAGTAATTATGGTGAACATTCAAGATTAGCTAAAATCCATGTATACCTATACAACCTTCAAAAAAGTCAGTTCTGTCTCCTCCTACATCTCTAAGTCATGCATTCTCACACGATCTCTTGTGCTCCTATTAATCTCTTTTTTTTGGTAGGGTTAGCTTTCTCTGAGGTAAGCATGTTAATTTGTCCAACTGCAAAGCCACATAAGCATTAATGCAAGCACAGATCGTAGGAAATTATGTCAAGTCAAAGAAAGACTATGTTTGATGGTGGCATGAACTTAGCTCAGCTTAAGTGTATTGTAAATCCATGTGATATATGATTTAATGCAAACAGTACAATAAAGAAGTATGGCAGAATACAGTTCTTTCTCAGTTTGAAATGAACACTGAAGTTCTGTAATGTAGCACCTGCTGGTCTTCCCTGTACTAATGTTCAGTAATGAAATGAGCCTTATGAGACAGAAAAGTAGGTTGCTTAAAAGTTCGGTTGTGTTCTGAAAATTGGACGTGCAAAAACAATGTCTTCATGCTCCATATCTACAGAGTACTATTAAATAAGTACTCTCCTCTTCAAAATCACATACTTGCTTCTACTGATATCTCCAAAATTAGACCACGCTTACAATTCTTGCAAAGTTTACCTTAAGCTGGATGATATCTTCACCATGTAGTAACACTGCCATCTCCTTCCAGTTGAAGGAAGCTTTCTCACGATATTTGCGAAGCGGTCCTTTAGGGAAATCTGGTAGCAAAGTATCCCATGAACTTTGGTTGCCAGTGGCTTCTTTCAGATTCAGTGTGGATGCCATTGTTAGCTAAACTGCACCAAACAAGAAAAGATACATAATGAATTGAAGCACTGCAGATGTCTAATTTTTAATAATAAAAAAAAAACCAAAAGGGTTGTTAATTGAATCCATAGACTTGTTCAAATGTATGACTACAGCAGTGCAGAGCCAACTAAAAGCTTGCCCTTCCATTCTTCTAATTCAATTGGCTTGGTACAAGCTAAGAAAAAAAAATGCGTTTGATCAAATGTAAATGAGTTACATGGTCTTTGCTATTAAAATATGAGCTAAACCTTTTAAGATAAGCAAAATATGAAACAGGGACACCATTGGGTAATATTGCATAATACGAAAGAGGAGATACGATAAAAGATCCAGGCAAGAAAATAACATGTCTTATATAACATAATGTGAATAATTGTTACCTCACTTCTAACTTAAATGCAAAATAATAAAATATTAAAGCACCCAAACATGCATACAAAGCCCCGTTCAAACGCAGGAGATGCCTCTATTATCTCCACATTACTAGTTAACATTTAAACAACTTTCAACTAAATGGCATGTTGGTTATACATTAAGGTTTGTTTTTATATAACAAGCGATGAACCATTGTTTGTGCATAAACATGAGAGAGAAGACACCAGGGAAATGGCAGGAACTCTGCCCTTATCTTCCACTGGTTGAATATATGAAAGAGGAAGTGGGTAATAAAACCTTTATTTCATGCACACCATTTGCAAGAAACAAATTTCTGTAAAATTCTGCACATTTGCATCTCCTTTTCCTAATTTAATCTTGTCTGGGTTAGCTCTCACAGATCCACTTAGCTATGTGAGAACTACACTATCTGGGTATATCTGCCCAGGCCATTAGGAGTATGGCACAGAAACAAATAGGTGGCTTTATAGAGGGCAAACATAAACATGTCCAGCCCTGTATATTATTCCATTGCTTCGATATGGTAAACATTTAGAATTGTGAAACTGGAACAATATCAACATGCTGTCCATCACTCACACTGACTTGAATAGAGCAGGTGAATGTGACAAGCAGGAGGCTCTGTCTGCAATGGGTCCGTAACAGGTACAGATTAAACCTGCTTAAATGAAGTCAAGTAAAACTATCACAGTAGTGACTTCTACAAAACACATAAACCTATAGGGCTTTTCTTCTTCATGGATGATGCAGTTCTGGAAAATTTTAAGTACATAGGTATGTGCTTCTCTTAAGTGTCATATTGCCATACTCAAGAATAAATTTAAAATAACACAAAGTATGAACTTTGCAACCACACTTAAACTTCACTTTTTCTTCTCTCTTCCCTAAAGTTTACATTTTCGTTTCTGTTGTGTGGTGGCTTATTGCATTTTTAGTCTGTCTTCCCACTAAACACTTTTTCCTGAATACACTTTTTTCTGTGCTAAGTTGACCTCAGATTCTTGCGTATGTGATCAAAAGCCGTAAGGCCCCAGGAAGTTTGCTGGCATTCTGTTGTGCATATCTATGGGCCACGCAAGTGCATTGCAAAACTTCACAGAACCAGCAGGATTTCACTATCAGTAGGTACAACCGCACTGGTTTTGGAGAGAAGGGGAATCTCGCTTTGTGTTACAACCTGGTCAAAGGCTTATGCCTCGGCTGCTTCCAGAAGTCGGAGTGCCCTCTGCTGCTACCGGCTCGTATCACACCCAGCAATTTCTGTCACTTCATGCAGATGTGTGTTACGCTTGTAAGATGCAAAAATGATCGCGCAAGGGAACAGAAGCTGGCCACATTATAACAATAGGACTGTCTGGAAAAAGCAATTCTCAAAGGTGCTGGGAGGACATCTGGGCCCAGGGGTGGCCAAGGGCTCAGTACAGTCTATGAACATAATAAAGTACAGCAACTACTAGTTTGGCATTCTACTTTTTCCCGTTGCCTTTTTTTTTGCCCTCATCATCTTGATATATCTCCTGGCTACATTTCTTTTCTTTCAACCTAATCCTCTTATGGATGTAATTTCCTAGTTCTGGACAGTACAGACATTGTAGAAGATGACTGCAGGGTAGTATTTCTGCATGTGACTTCCAAATCTGTTTTAGGAAGCTGCAATTCTAGCGCTGAGCAACAGGTTTGGAAAGGAGTGGGGGTGCGGGGAAGGCATTGAGAAAGAGCATTTCAACACGAAGCCAAATAAACAGACATTACTCTTCTAACTGGAAAACAGGTAAATCAGACAGAAGTTCAAGGCTTCTGGCTCCGAACAGAGAAAAATCAAAAATACTGCAGTTGTTGCATCTAACTTCATTTACAGTGCAAAATCAGTGAGATTGCTCAAATGAGGATCTGGTACTTCAAAAAAAATTACAATTTCTCTTTCTGCCTTCACACAATGTTTTAATATAATTTGGTTCCCAGCAAACAGATTCAACACTAATTAGGAAACCAAGCCAAGCAATTACAGTAGGAAAGTAACAAAGGACTGCCCTAAAGAATAACTCAGGTTTAATTTCAGCCTTGTGCTGGCCTTTTGAAATCTGCATGTGGATGTGATTATTTTTTAATATTAATTTAATATTTTGATTATTTTTTAATAGTGCACTGATTGTTTATCTAATATCAGGGTGATGTGTGAGTCTCCGTTACTTTGGAACATGCTTCCCAGGACTCCGGATTTACTGTGGGGTAGGACAAAGCAGCAGTTTTGTGCTGGAAAAATCTCACTGTCTAGCTTATACTTTATTCAAATGTTCAGATTTAAAGAAGATGAACAGTCTTACTGATCAGCCTTCGATATTTTGGAAAACACCACGTGGATGCGGCGGTACAAAATAACGCAGGTTATTATCGACTTGCTGAGAACTGCAGCAGTTTCCCCGAGAAAAGCTGAGCCGAAAAAAACCTTTTTATGTGGGAGGTGCTCCTGCTCGTAACTCAAACCCACGACTGGACAACAGCAGCAGCCGTCGGCAAACCACCAAGGGACTATTTCCCTCCGCGGTGTAATACCGTCAGGTGCACCGCTCCGCGATGGCACCGCTCAGGCACTCGGTGGCCGTCAAAAATAACGGTACCGTACCCTTATTCTGTCAGAAACACCGTTACTCGCAAATGCGGAGCCGCTAGAGAAAAAGAAAATAAATAAAAACGCGGCGATGGCACGTAGCCAGAGAAACGCAACACCGCAGGGATTAAAGGCAGGGACGGAAACCACTTCTTTAAGTGCCCTTCGAGGTTTTATTGCACCACCGCTACTTGCTTGAACTGCCTGAATTTAGGGCGGGGCCTCGTTTCCGCTCGGAGGGAAAAAAAGAAAAAAAAAAAAAAGACTACGTAATGTACCAGGTTTTACCAATAAAAAAAAAAAAAAACAAACGAGATTTGTTTCCGTGAGCAGCCGGAAGCCTGTCCGGTTGCCAGTCAGCGTCCCCCCCTTTCAGAAAGGCGTTTCTGCGCTGAGGTCCCACGGCGGTTGTCACAACGACACAGCCCTTCCTCAAAGAAAAGCTGCGAATACGGTAAAAAGTCCCCCAGCCCGCGCTTGCCTCTGGGGGTACCTCGGTCGCTTCCAGCCGCGGCCCGGCCCCGCGGCAGTGTCCCCCCGCTCCCCCGGGGAGGGCTGACAGGA